TGAATATATAATTAATTTTGTAAATTCTCAAATTTTATTTTTATATTCTCAAAAATTCAAGCTATGCAAAAGTTTATATGATTTACAATTTGCGATTTTACCTCCATAACAATCAAATATTAATTTTCACAATGTTTTATCTTTATCTTGACTTTAATACTAAAGTTATTTGATTAATAATTTAAAAATAAAAATAAAAATAAAAGTAATTAGAAACTCAATATTTTTTTTAAAAAAGATTATGAAGTGCACTCATCATTATAAATATCCAATTATTTCGATATGTGTTGCTTGTCACAAATGTGAATTTTAAAGACAACTGTTCTTGGAATGCTAACAAATCCATAGAGAGAATTTCTAAAATATAATTCCTCTCAATATATTTTATGAGAAGACTGCCTAGAAATTAAATCAATATAAGCTTGATGCAACTGAGTTAAATACATAAAGAAAAGCTTTTTAATCTATGCTTTCTCAAACTCAATCTAAACTTAAGAATATTTGGGATGATTTATCAGATTCAATTTAAAAAATATACAATTTGATTGAATAAGAAAATGAATTAAACATTAATCTTTTAAACAACAATATAATAGCAGAAACTTCATACACTGATTTAGAAAAATTAGTCTCTATTGTAGTAGGGAATTCAATAATTGATCGGGTTATCGAAAGGAATTCAAAGATAAAGTTATTAGAAAAAATTAAGAATGGATGGAACCATGGATTTGAGCTTTGTATAAAATTCTAATAAAATAATAGAAAAGATTGAGTTTATTCATAAAAGGGCAAATTGGATGGTCATAGTAATCGTCTTGATACTGTATGCTTCTCACAAGATGGAACTACTTTAGCATCTTATAGCGAAGATAGGTCAATCCATTTATGGGATGTAAAGACTGGTTAACAAATTTAACCTTCAGATATAAAATACAAAGATCTTATAGCATAATTTAAATTACCCTTAAACTAAAACATCCCACTTGCAGATGGTATTAATGTTTTATTTAATTTTAGTAACGTCCTCTATCAATGTTCTCCTAAGATCCTAAATGACAAAATTTTAAGCATAAGGTGCTCTAATTCTATAAGGATAATTTTATAATCAATTAGGCACTGATTTAAAAACATTACTTAAATAAAAAGGAAGTTATTTTTTGGTATATGTTCAAATTCATTAATCATATTCTTGTGCATTTACAAAAAAATATTTTCGAAATAATAATAAACTCTAAACTTAGATACTTTTTTTTATATTTTTATAAATATTTTTAATAAAGGAATATAGTGTTTAGTATACATAGGCATTTAGAAGATTTTAGATCTGCTTTCAATTCTAATATTAAGTCTAGTATTATGCCTAATGTTAAGCCTGTTTCTAACTTTGGGTTTATTTTTTAACCTTTGTATTTAGTCTGGTTTAACGTACTTAATTTTTTTTCTTAATCTTTCTAAATTAACATTTTAATTCTGAAGTATCTTTATGTTTTTATGAATAAAACCACATTACCTATAATCATATAAGATTTATATTCAAATTAATATTTCTTGTTTAATTATTTCTTTCCTGTAAAATAGGATTTGGGTAGTAGATATTTGTAGATAATTTGATTACTATCAATAATTTACATTATTGATCAGTGAATTTTATTGAATAAAGTGAAAAGATTTTCTATGTTTTTTACTATATATATGCTTTCTTGAAATTTTGAATTATAAGCCTTATTCCTTTAATGAGATAATCATTATAGACATATATAGTCCTTCATTTTTATTTTCTATCAATTAAATTCTTTAGAATATTAACATTTTATTATAAATTATTTTTAAAGTAAAAGTCTCGCATAGTTTCATACAAATCACTCTCTGGATAAATCTACAATTAAAAAATGATGAATATATATTAGATGAATTACCTAGATCAATTAATTAATATAATAATATATTAGAAGTTTTATTATTTAATTAAATCTTTTTTTTTCTTTACAAATTTTTTTAAAAATTTATTACCAAATATTATTTTATTTTTTAATAATATTTATAAAATGATATTGTGTTCTAACAATCTTTTACTAATAAGATTCATTATTCTTTTATTAATTTTAAAAAAAGGGCAAAATTTTTAATATTATTGGTTTATCTTTAATAGTTTACGGATTAATTTATTTTTAGACTGAATTGTCGGAAATCGGAAAATTAAGAAGAAGATTTGACTACAAATAATATTATTTATTATCGAAATATTTGATATTTCATATTCTTTCAGACTATTCTATTTAATTTCGTTAAATATTTTTAAACTTTTAGAGACTTAAATAATGATTAATATTAACAATAATATAAAAGAATGTGCTTTTTTGTTGATAAAAATTAAGTCAATTTTTTTCTTAGAGAATACAAATTGTTTTTTTATTAAGCATAAGTTTGATTCCTTTTTGTAAGTTCAGATTATTAAGCATCCTCATAATGTGTATTTCCTGATATTTAATTAAGTTTATTGAAATTGACAAGTAGGTCTTGGAAAATCTTATCTTAGGTAACTCTGTGATCTAAAATTTACTTTGTTGTAGGGATAATAGTTTTCTGTTGCCAAATTTTGAAATAGAAGTTGTCTTGCTAATATTATAATTAATAAGTATTATCAGGAAAATTAATCTTTGAATGAATTTACGATAATAATTAAGAAGGTCTTTAATATAGTATTCGATTATTTGAAGCTACTTTATTATATCAATAGACTCTTATAAAATTAAAATAATAATATTTTGATACGTTTTCTATCATTCAAAAAACATTTTAATTAACCAAAATAAAAAAAGATTATTTCTTTACTACTTTTAGATATTTAACATTTTAAAAAGTTTTTCTCAAATTTTATTAGGATATGGTAATTAATAGTGTAAAAAATACGTGAATAGAGATATAAGTTGTAAAAAAGACTTCAGATAAAGAGATATATAAATATTTTATTTATCTTTACCTAAAACCATTATATGGTTATAAATCTATGTTATCCTCAAATAAAATCTATTTATTTGCAAAATATTTCTTAAATAACTGGTTAATAGTTAATGTATATTAATAAACACTTATTATCCCTTTTTTTGAATCCAATATTAATGTGATTATTCTATTTCAGATATCAAAAGAATAAGTATGTCATCTACCAATATTGTTGGCTAATTTTTTTCACGGGATTTTAATCATTAATAAGGAATACATCTTTTGAAAAATTCTATAAAAGTCTGCGTCTTAATTACATTTTTGAAGTTTATAATCAAAATTAATTTGTTCATATTTTTAATATTAATTAAATTTAATTTGAAAATGTAAATTCAATGTACCTAAGCTGATCATCAAAATCAGTAAATAATAGGAATTTGTATTGGAAGCAATTGCCAATATCAAAGACCTTATTGTCATGATTGTTTACATAATCATGTGTAACATTTTAATAAGTTAATATCATTGGAACACTTAAATGAATGGATTTAAAAACGAGTGGCCGTTATTAACGATTTATAAAAGAATGCGTAAGAGTGCAAATCAGTCCTTGATAGTCTAATAAATATATTTATTCCTTACTTCAACATTAATCTAGAATAATCAGGAATCTCTGAGATTGACAATATAATTAAGGGTTTATGTAAAGTGGAAGTTTTTGAGTCATAATTTTTTAACCATCTCAATTAATTAATCCAAGAGATTAAATAAATTATAGAAGAAATACTAAAACAGTCCAAGAGCTAGACAGATTAGTAGTAGGTAATTAAAGTATAAGCTCAATAACCTTAAATAATGTAATCATTGATTTAAGAACAAAACAACCAGGTAAACATCTTAAAACCAAATCTAAAACCATTCACCTTTGAACTCATTAAATAAAATACAATTTAGTAAGATGAATATTGTTATGCAATTGCTTTTAATAAAGATAGCTCAATTGTGGTAGCCGGATGTAAAGAGAAGATTAACGTATATCAACATAAAGAAGGGAAACTGGATTAAATATAAGTGTTATGTGAACATTAGGATAATGTGTTTACTTTGAATTTTATGAGGAATACAAACGATTTTGTATCTGGTAGTTTGGATAAATTAATTATAATATGGTAGATGAATGGAAATAATTAATGGAATTGCTAACTAAAATTGAATGGACATTCAAATTCTATATTTTGTTTGTTGTTGAATAATAATGATGATCTCATTGTATCTGGGAGTAGTGATAAACAGATTAAATTTTGGATTAAATAGAATTAATGGTTGTGTTAATAAACAATAACTGATCATACTAGAGAGGTGTATTCATTAAGTTTAAATGATCAATAAAATAAAGTGATTTCTTGTTCAAAAGATTGTCAAATATTTGTAATAGAATAGTCATAATTGGATAAAAAATGGAGTGTTATATAAAAGATAAAAGTAGAAAAGTTTGGATATAGATTATGTTTTATAAATGATAACTAATTTACATTTTAGCCTCTTTTTGGTGAGTAAATGCAAATCTATGAGATTGATTGTAATACTAAATAGTATAGGAAGACTAAGGAAATTATTGTAAAATGTGGTTCAATTAGTGAGAATAATTTATTTCCATAATAATACTTGAAGTCTAAATGCCTGTTGGTGAATAAGAATGGTAAACATGTTAATTTAATGAGGAAGAAAGAGAATGGAGAATTTATATTTGATTAATCTATTTAATTTGGTGTTTCTGGTTTATATGGATAATTAAGCTAAGATGGAGAGTATTTGATCACTTGGGATTGTAGTTCAAATGAAATTTAAATAAGAAAGAGTAGGGCGGGGTGAAAAAAAATGAAATATTATTCAAAAAATTAAGAAAATAATTATTTTATTTTAATATTGTTGAAGAAAGGGTTGGCTGTGGAAGAAATGTCACTAGTATTAAATTAAGTCCTCCTAAAATAATTTTTTTTAAAGAAGAAGAGTTTTAGATTACTATAAATATTTATCGTAATAATTAGAACAGAGAGCAAAAAGCATATTTGACCTGGTCAATAACATTTGTTTAATAAATTTATAAAAAATTATCCTTTTTGATTAGAAAAAAATGGAAATTCAAATAATAAATTAAGATTT